AGCAATAAACTCCAGTACAATATGCGCTGGCGTTTATTGCTTCAAATTAATTGCATGTGTAGATGCACCCCTGTCAGACACAGCAGCTTCTTATCTGTTCTCTTCCTTTAACCTTTTCATTTGCTCCAGTGAGGCCATCCTATCTCCTTATTCCCCTTTCATTCACTCCCAGTTCCCTCCTATACTCTCTTCTTAACCTCTGGCTATCTTTTGGCTCTGGTTACTCTGATATCCTTTTTTTTTTAAGGTTGTCATTCATTTAGTTAGGTCTGGAATCCTTTCTTACAAAGTTTCTCCCTTGCTTGCGATGCAGGTACCAGAAATTTTTTATGCCTTTGACTTAAAAAAAATTCAAGCACATGCTCTATTTATGTTAAGCAAAATAAACCTGTGTTCCTTTTATTGTTTACGTTCAATGACTCTCTTTACTATAATGGCCTCACTACTTTCCAAAATCAAGTCTACCCACAGCATTTCCTCTTATTTATTCCATGAGTGTTTGGTAAAACAATCTGTCGGTTATCAAGTGCAGGAAGAATAATCAATCCTATTAGCGGTATTTCGCCATTCTCTGCCTGGGAAGTTCAAGTCTCCTGTAATAATACAAATTTTTGTATTAGGTATTGTTGCCATAATGGTCCAGGAGATATGCAAGAGGCAAGAACTCTTGTGGGTGATATATTTTATTGGACCAACTGCATAGTTGGTATAGACATAGGAAAGCTTTCATATATCTCAATTAAAGCAATTTAATTTATAATATGCTGTGCTTGGAATTATGCTGAGCAATATAAATACTGTAAAATTGGAAAAATCTTCAAAACTTTTTCTGATAGCTAAATACACTGAAGAGAATATAGGTAGGCCTGATTCATTGCTAGTTTACTACTATTTTCACCACTTTGATATCAATCTGACTTTATCAAAGGAATTACATCAATATAAAAGCAGAGTAATTGCAGTGAATCAGAAATATATTTAGGGAATAAAAAAGGAGACCTGAATTATTGTGATGCATCATCTAAGCTACCTGTACACTGGATATTTTAATAGAAATGAAAGATTTATATGGTGTGATGCAACCCCCAATATAAGTGGCATTACATTACCCTGGAACAAATATTGAAAGGATAATAGAAACATTCTTGAAACACATGTACCTGAGGATAATGTGATACCTGAAAGCTTGCTTATGTCTATACCAATCATATAGTTCATCTGATAAAAGTTATCACTCACAAGAATTCTTGCCTTGCCTTTCACAAATCCTTGTAGTCCTTATCTCTCCCATAATATTACACTGAGAGCACAATGGAGACAGTCTCCCTAATCTCAGTTCCAATGCCTGGCACCACTATGTATCACAGCAGTTGTATGAAGTCCTGCTCAGTTTCTGCTGCCCTATTAAAAGAAAAGTTTTGGGGACAAACATAAGGTTTTATCTGTTTTTATTTTTTTCTACCAGTACAATATCTCCATTAAAATCAGAGCAAAATGATTTTGAAGCAAGCAGGATCTTGTTTTAGGTTGTCCAGGACCTGATATGTTATTAGATTACCTGATATGTTATTAGATTAATTCACTGAAATAGAATAAATCAGTACATTTACTTCATAGCTGGTATCAAGTACCACTGCCTAGCTAGAGATAAAAAGAGGATTGTGTAAACTTACAGACTTTCATTTTTTTTCATTCTGCCAACCTCACTGCATTGTTTCATATTTTTACATGAATTGACAGCTATAGAGATTCAGTTCCCTTTAAGATCAACCACAAAGTAAGTGGTCTAAAGTATTTAATTCAACATTTTTTAATATTATATTTTGCATTTTTCTATATAATGCTAGCAGTAGCAGATTATTAAGATTCTGTCATCTATAATTATATATAGAAATAAAGGCATGAGAGTAGGTACCTGGCTTGTGTTTGAGGCTTGTAAAAAGAAGTTAAAGCTAAGCAAGTTGGGACAACTTAAATTTTATTATAAATTGGACTGTATTATTAGCAATATTCACTAGTTCCCCTTGGGGATGCTCTGAGCCTTCCAGACAGAAATACTGAGTTTAGAAAATGTTTTAGTTTTGTTTTTTTAATAAAAATGATGCTTTATAAATTGCCTGCTTTTGCAAAAAGCCTCAGAGGTAACCATCAGCTTACCTCCTTACCCCCACCCCCACCCCAACACACATAACCCTAGTTCTATGAATGGTCAGGACTGCAATAACAAAAGAGCCAGATAATGCACATAGATACGACTGTGTAACTCCCATTGAAGCCATTGAAAACCATACATAAGTATCTAGGGACAGACACGGACTGTATATGATGCAGTGATACTCAGACTGCATCTCCTGACCCACAGGAGAATGTACGTGGTTTGAATAGATAATAATGGAAATATTTCCTTATTTAAAGAACCTTTTCAACTGTCATTTTCACTCATTTTTATTTCTGCCTTCCTCTCTTGATTATATAAAGGGGAAATACTGTTTCCATTTGGCATGGAGTGTGGGAGGGAGGCTGTGACTATTGTGACTGCTTTGGGAGAGGAACTGTGGACATACTTTCAAAAGGACATACATCTCACAACCATGACTTCAGGGATAGAGACTAGTATAGTGGGAAAGATGTGTTGTGTGGTATAGAACTGAGGCTACTGGATTTATCATGGATCATGTAGAGGTTATATAAAATCCATTTCTTTCTACTAAAACCAAGGAGTTAGAAGCCTTGGGCAGTACTAGTACATACGTGACGGAGTTGATCTTTTTTACTTTTATTGGTGTTTTGTGAAATATTATAAATCAGTCCATTAAGTCTGTGGAACAAATGACATTTTGTGTGATTCATGACTGAGTAGCCAATCCAAAACAGTGGGTCGCCTAGATATTTGTGCAAATTAACTAAGCTATAACTAAAATATAATAGGAATTGCTAGATTTAAAGCTAATAATGGATTTGCAATGAAAAAATAAAATGTGGCTTTGGGTTTATTAGACATAAGAGCAATGATCCTAACATGTACATGTATATATATAGTATCTGGGTAGTAGCCGTATTGGTTTAGAGGCAGAAGGAATCAGGACAACTAGATTTTTGCAAAAAAATGTCTTTATTTGCAAGCTTTCAGGCATAAACACGCTTCTTCAGGCATAAGAGAAAAGTTGGTAAAAGTTCTCTTGGGTAGAAATGAAAGTTCATATTTCATAGGAGAGTTGAAGGTGTGGTAAAATCTCCTGTTCTCACTGACATCCTGCCACACTTTCAGCTTCTCTCATTTCTTGGAGTCTCAGAACAGCAGAGATTCCTTATATCTGAAGAAGGGTACTTGTGCCTGAAAGCTTGCTAAGAACTTTTTTCCAACTAGTGAGTTGGTCTAATAAAAGATATCACATCTACTCAAAAAACCTTGCCTGCCTATGAAATATGAACTTTCATTTCTGCCCAGGAGAACTTTTACAATATTTTCTCCTATGCCTGAAGAAGGGTGTTTGTGCCTAAAAGCTTGCAATTAAAGATTTTTTTTTTGGCAAAAATCTAGTTGGTCTAATAAAAGAAAGCACCTCTATCATGAGTCCTAATTCCTCATGTATGTATATACACACCCACCCACTCAGTCCCCTAATAAGTTTTAAAATTTATCACCCAGAAGTCCAGCAAAAATTGGTAATTCAATAGCAGCTTCTACCTACTTCAAATCTAAAGTATTCCAAGGTACAGATTACAAGTATTCCTGTACAAATTAAGTCAACTAAGTAAAAAACATTATGTTTTTATAGGCACTACTTAGTAGATTTGTCTAAACAAAGTTTTCGGTTCCAAGAATCTTCTTTTCACCTGGCTGGCTGGCATGTGGTCTGCAGGCTGTTTGCATGTGATTGCACCCCTGGAAGTGGGAAGTTCATACCCCTGGGGGTGGAAGGGGGAGTTGCTGCCAGAGCCACCCCCTGGGCAGTAGAGTTCAGGGAGTAGAAAGTTTATCCATACAGAATAGGCAACGTTCTTTGGGTAGACACAGTATCTTTTATTAGAGCAACTAAGTAGCTGGAACAAAGTTCTTTGCAAGCTTTCGAGCACAAGTACCCTCCTTCAGGCACAGGGAGATTCTGCTGTTGTTCTGAGATCCCCAAGGAATGAAAGAAGCTAAAAGTGTGACAGAAGGTCAGTGAGAATGTAAATAGGTGGAAATTGGGAAAGCAATGGGTAGAGAAGGGAGGGGAGGAGGAAACGCCTGGGGAAAATGGGTGAAGGAATGCCAAAGGTAAGCAAGGGAGACTGTTGTTGTAATGAATTCTCCAAGGTACAAAAGAGGCAGTCTGTGAAAAAGTAACCAGCTAGAAATTATGAAAACAAAGGGTAGAGAAGGGGGGGTGGGGAATGTAACAGCACTCAGTACCTTTTTGGCTGTGTTTAGCTGGTTCTATTCTTTATTGTACTTAGTTATATATTTTTTAAGGCAAGGTGTACCTTTTGTACTGGTATTTTGGAGCCCTAGTTCACACCTGTGTCTCTTACCCAGTACAATAATACACATAATAAATATCAAAATAATGAAATGAATAACTAAATAATGAAATATTATTTTATTAATAACAAAATAATAAAATAACGAATAATAATGAATTAACAAAATAATGAAAAACGATTACAGAAGTTTTTCACCCCTCTCATCTGTACTGTGGGTTTTACCACTTTTAGCCTTGTGTCAGATATTATAGTAATGAGCATGTTATAAGAGCCTAGCCAGATAGGGATCCCCCAAGGGAGCACACACCTAAATTCTTTTGCTTCATTAGCTTGTTTTATGTTCCTGCTTCCACAAAAAATATGGACTTTTCACTAATATTTCTCGTTTAATGAATTTTCACATTTGTTCTTGGTGAACACTAGATACCATGGCAGGGGGCTTGTAAGCCTGCTTTTGCTTCGCTTAGGATACCAGTGCTCAAGACCTGCACCATTGTCAGTTGTGAGGGACTCATCTGAGCTGAGAAGGGGTCAATGTGGTGGGCACTTGCTGAGTGAAGGATTTGAGATGAATAGTCCCTATATTGATTTGTCTATAATGGAGTATAAAAGAAAAATGTACAGGTTTTGTTGCAGGTATTTTCACGGGGTATTAAATTGGTGGATTAGTTGCAAACAGCAGTACTGATAAAGTCTCCTGTCCATCTTGATGGTTGGGCTTTTCTATTAAAATGACACATAAATAACCTATTATGTCCCCCACCCATGGAAATTCAAATGCACCTGTCAACTTGATAAAGCACTTGCCTGGAGGGAAGCATTGTTTACATTTTCACTCCATTCTTCAGAAAAAAGTGAGATTCTAATTATTTTTTCCACTGTAAATTAATGCTGACTATGATGGTTAGCATATCTCTGTATTGTTATATCAATGGGAAAGTTAAATAATAGAACTGATCTATCATGTATTATGCAATGTGCATTTTTATGACAGGCTTCCTTGTGATCTTATTACGCCTCTCTTCATAAATACTCACTTCTTTTCAGCAGCTGGGGGAATCTTTTTTGACTGCTGGTTCAGAAGTTGAAATCTGTCCTATGTGTAATGGAAAATGCAATTTACATGCTTACCAGGCACTGACCTTTGCTATTTCATCACGGAAAAAATAAGGATATAAAAGGTACACTCCACTAATCATGGGCATCATTATGACAAACAATTGATTGCAGTACACTAAAACAGTTTTGTCAAACTGAGCATGCTAAATTCGGTAATACAGTTTATTCTAGATATGTTGGACAGAAACTTTTTGACTGAGGAGTGGGCAAATTAGTTCAAATCAAATAAAATATGATTGGGCAAATTAGTTGAGATAAAATAAAATGTGATCTAGACCTCTGTTCAATGCACACAAAAAATGAATAATAATCCCTCCAGATTAAGTTGACGATTGAAATACCATGAGGGAGGCTGCTTTTGCCATGCTGCTAACCTAGGTTGCAAGTGAGGAGTTCTTTTCAGGAAGCAAAAACAAAAAAACCCCTGTTTTCTGGTGGTTTTTCACTAAGTCAAGAAAGAGATGTTCATGTACTGTTGGTATGTTCTGAAAACCATGACAGGGAAAGTGTATTTTCAGTCTCTTTGGTTACTTTTGCAGACCCAGCTGGTCTGAATACTTTTGTGGATGCTTGTGCAAACAGCCTTGAATCTTTGAATGACTGACTCACCCATCACTGGTTACAGTAGAATTCTAGATTCATATAATAGCATAAATAGATTAAGGTTAAAATATCTGGAACACATCAACAAAATGAGACCATGACCTGGAAAAAGAAAGAGAGCAAATCTCAACTGGAAGTCCCTTTGCATTTGAGGCAGTTTAGCTTTAGGTTGGAAGGAGTTTCTTAGAGTGCCTTGCACAATGGAGTCAGGAAAAAGGGGCAGGATAGAAAGGTGGGAATGCCCAAGTCCTTGGCAACTGTCTTTGACGTTTACATTTGAAACTCTTCACTGCCCCTCTCTATTTATCCACTTTTGTCTCTTACTTCTGAAAAACTATTCCCTCTTCTCCACCAAGTTTTTCTCACAAGTATTTGACACCTTCTTTCAGGATCCTTCTTGCATGTGAAAGTCAACTGATATTCTTCAAGTTTCTTCTCAAGAACCATTGTATTAATGAGGCCTATATGGAATCAACTAATTGACTGTGATTACATGAAAGAGCAAAGGAAAAGGGTAGACACATTTTTAATATCTCTATATATTGTATATATTGATATTAAGCATATCTATATACTATATAATTCACAATTTCCTTCTCCCTTTGTAGATCTAGTTGTAAAGTCTTTGCAATATAAATGGTCTCATTCTAGTATTATCAGACCCAAATTGTAAGTTTGGCAGTCCTGGATGCTCCCATAAGATATATTTTAAATACAAGTAAGTGTCCCGGGGGGATGAACCAAGCCCCAGTGTCACGG